GTTCTGTAATTCAGGCTGCCTTGAATTTGAAGCAGTCCTTTTGCCTCAGCCACCCAAGCGCTGGAATTACATTATCACTTTCAGGAAAGGATGCTCTAGTCTTGTCTTTCACATTGTTGAATCATCTATGTCCTTTAAGTGCTAATGGTATTGTGCACTGTGGGAGAGGACTGAGAGATATCAGAATTTTCTAGCTCTTATTTTGAGGATTTCCATGAGTGTTAACTGATATGAATGTGTATTATTAAGATGCAACTTTTGGTAGTAAGTGAATTTTTTATTGGCTATAACTTTCAGTTTTGCATTTTTGAAAGCATAAGCAAAATTTTACTTACATGCTATTTATGTAGTCTAGAGCACATTGAAAACTGACCCATTTAGAGCCTAGAGAAATGGCATTAGGAATTTTTTGTTTTTTATTTGCATATGTGATGTAATTTTTGGGAATTGATACAAACATGTAGCATATCTTGATCATTTTGATCTCTTTATTCCACTCTCTTATCTCTCCTTCCTCTGATCCTCTTCCACATCTCCGCAAAGTCTGCCTTGGTTTCTTCCATCTCTCTTTAGTTTTGCTCATTTATTTATTTAATTTTTAAGTTTACTATACAAGAGAAACTAAGTAATAGTTAGCTTTTTGTGTCTGACTTATTTCACTTAGCATTATGGCTTCCAGTTTTATTCATTTTCTTGCAAAAAACATTTCATTCTTCTTTATGGCTGAACACTATTCTGCTGTGTATGTATACCACACTGCTGTATGTGTTTGTCTGTTGATATACATCTAGGTTATTTCCAGAACTTTGCTATTGTGAATTGTGTGGCTATAGCCATTGAAAGTTTGTCTCGTTTCCTTTTCTTCTTCCTTTTTTTTTTTTTTCGGTACCGGGGATCGAATTTTCTTTCTTTCTTTTCTTTCTGCCTTCCTGCTTCCCGCCCTCCTTTGCACTGTGTCATTCAGGCTGGCTCAAACTTGCTATGTATTCTAGGCTGGCATCAAACTCTCAATCTCCCTGCCTTAATGTCCCAAGTCCTAGGACTAAAAGCATGCATCACTGTACTTGGTGACAGTTTGCTTTCAAGGACTGTGGATTACCAAGCATCAAGCCATTTACAAAATACAAAGAAAAAGAAAAGATGGGTGAATGTAGTGGTACCAAATAAGTAGAGTTTCCATGACACTGTAGTGATAAAAAGAACTTACAAGATTTTTATAGCACCCATTAAAATTGTGTCAGTCTCATTAAATGCCTGATCTTATATTTTTGTAGCAGAAAATTAGGTTCTTAGAATCAATGTACCTAACTATAGTCCTCTTGGATTCATCCTTCAAAGGATAAAGTGACTCATTTTACATCATTAGATTTTTAAAAAGTATTTTGAGAGGCCTTAGAGGAGTAAGCTATAACGAACGTATTTCTAGGTCAGTCTGTGTTGGCGACTGTTGATTTCAGTAGGAAATTCCTTAGGATTGTGAAGATTTAAATTGATACTCCAATTCCTGCTAGAAAGCCTCTCCCGTGAAAGTCTGCCTATCTCTCTTTCTCACTACTTCACAGGGCTACAGCATGTGTGGCTAACTGAACACAGGTACTGCAGGAGTAGAATAACCACATTCCATAAAGTTTTGATGGGTTTATGGTCAAATGAAGAGAATTACTTAGGCTATGCCTTGGTGGATGTTTTCCACAGAGTGAAGCTGTGTTTCTCTCATTATTTCCTGTAGGTGATGGGTTTTACAGTGGAAGCTTACCTATTTTTAGGATCACTCAACATCTCACCAGTTTTACTATTTATAACAAGTCTTTCTTCAGGCAAAGAACTAAATTTCATCATTTCTTTCATCATATTAATATGCTTATAAATGAATGCACTGCAGGACCTATTATACTGAGGAAATCTATAGTACATATGTATATCTATGGATTTTTCATCATAGGAGCAGCTTGAATTTTTTATAACACATAGGACTCTCATTTATCTTATTTTACAACAGCCTTTTGATGTCCATTTAATTTTATGGTCCTAACTATGTACAAAGATAAGCACAGATCTAAACACAAGCCTTATGATTGTAAGGTCCTCCAACATCAGAATGCATTAAAGGGCTCAATTTAATATTATGCATCTGTAGGAATCTTTGAACAAACTCACGATGGTCATGAGTGTGAACTGGCTAATTTCTCTTCCATTTCATTCACTCTTATCTCACATTCTCCAGGGTGGGACTTTTATCGGCACGTTTCTGAGATGTTCAATTAATAACTGAAAAGAATGAAGGCTGATATGATCATTTCATGTCGTAATTTGACTTTTAAACATACTGCTGGGAGGAAAATGTGCCATTTTCATTTTTTATTCTATTTTTCTCCTATTGTATTTGTTATGCCATAGATTGAATATTCTCCTCTAAAGAATGTATCACAGGTAATCGATGTTTGACTCTGTTTTAGTTAGTTTTCTCATTGCTGGGACAAAATATCCAACATCTAAACTTAAAGGGGAAAGGTTTGTGGAGGTTTCAGTCCATGATCAGCTGGCTCCAAGACAGGGTGGTACATGGCAGAGGGCAACATTCATGGCAGCAGAACACAGCAAAGCCAACAAGAGAAGGCAAGAACAACCCTCATGTCCTCCCTTATGTTGTATGCAGGCCACTTAGCCTAGGATGGGTGTAGCACTCACACCCTTAATCCCAGCACTGGACCACGAATCAATCACAGACTTTAGAAGCTCGCCCCATGCCTGCATAAGGCTCTGGGCACAAACCGTAACACTCACATAACATACCTAAGTTGTTAACCTGTAACCTCTACAACCCTGCACAAGCCGTGAATGTCCTTCTCTATGGAGAACAGCTTCCTGCTGTCCAAGTATCTCCAGACCCCTAGTATATACCGTCCTGTCAGGTTTTCTCCTCTCCTCCTGAACCTTCTCCTGTAGCCCTGGATACGAGGGCTCCTGGATCATGCCTTTTAGCTTTTTCTCAGATGTCAGAGTGCTGGGAGGAAGGGGAGTTGGTGCAGCCACTTTATAGCTAGGGCACCCCCTCTTAGAAACATAAATGGGACAGGAAAGAAGGCGAGCCATGCCACACCTTCCCTAGTCTGTCTGAGTCCTGGGGCAGCTCACCTCCCGATCTAAAAGTTTGGACTGCACCTCCGTTTCTGGAAGTCTTTTCCAAGGTGCATTCACCCTGCTCTGGGCATCTTCTGCTTACTTCCCTGCCACAGGTGTTTTCTTTCTGTGTGTTACCTTCATCGCCTAAAGACGGGCTGCTTAGGGCTAGGCGTGGGATCTGTGTAAGGTTCAGAGTCATAAAGTTGCATCAACTACTGTACTGTGAACTATTTTATTTAATTTTTTGACTTCTTTTAATTTAACATTATGTTTTTATTAGTATGTATTTGTCATATATATTGAACAGATTCATTATAGGGCCTTTGTATCTGTAATATACATATATATATATAATATATATATATATATATATATACATTTTTTTTTGTACTGGGGATGGAACTCACAACCTCACGTTTGCCAGCCAAGTGCTTATGTTGCTAAGCTAAATCCTCAGTCCTTATAAAAATATATCTTAACTGAGAATCTTTATTGTGAAAGATTCTCATCATTACACACAATGACATGCCCTCCTCTTAGGTGGGATCCTAGCTACTCAGGAGGCTGAGACCAGAGGGTCACAAATTTGAGACCAGAGTGGGGAACAGTGAAACCTGTCTCAAAATTTAAAAAAAAAAGGGCTGGAGACATGGTTCATTGTGAAAGTCCTGGGTTAATTATCTACTCAAACCAACCAACCAACCAACCAACCAACCTCTGAGACAAGCTATGATGGTTGTCTTGATTACTTTTCTTTTGTTGCTGGGACAAAATATCTGACACACAAAATGAAGGGGAAAAAGGCTTATTTACTGTTTGTGGAGGTTTCAGTCCATAATCAGCTGGTTCCAAGGCAGGGTGGCATGGCACTGGGGCAACACTTAATAGCTGCAGCCAGAACAAAAAGAGGGAATAAGCCTCTTTGCTTCCCTTATGTTACACACATCTCTACCCACCCCTCCAGGGCAAGTGTAGCATTCACAAAATCTGTGTTCTCTTGCACAGGATGAGGATATTTACAGAATAAGGATCCTGACTCCCTGCTGCCTGTCTCAGTAAAACTTGTAAACTTCTCAAACACAATGTATCAACCATAACAATGGTCATCACTAAATTTTAAAAAATATAATCATTGACGGTATCAGGTAATAGCATTCCCTTCCCCACATCCACAGAGCTATTGGCTGGCTGCCCTTCCATGTAGAGATGTTATGTTTTTCTCTTTGACTTCTTGGGTTGTACATAATTTATCTTGAGTCTCTCCCCCTACTCCTCTCCCTTCCCTTCAACCCTTCTTCTCTCCTTGTTTACAAAAGCTTTGTTTCCATTTTTTCTTATTTTTCCTTTTTCCTGTCTTTCCCTTCCCCTTGCCCTCCCTTGTTCCCTTTCCATTTGAACAAGTTTTTTACTTCCCAATATCTATTCTCCCTTATGTTTCTTGTTTACCCTTTGGGTTTCTCAGACAAGAGAAACAACACGATATTGAAACTTTTGTGCCTGATTTATTTCACTGAAGATTATGGCCTTGAGATGCATCCATTTTCTTACAAATGACTCAAGTTTATCCCTCTTTGTGGCAGAGTAGTATTCTACTGTATATAGATTAGTGTTTAGGTTAGTGCTTCTATTTTAATTTTTTTTGGTGCTGGGGATGGAACTCATGACCTCATATTTGCCAAGAGGCACTTACACCACTGAGCTAAACTCCTGGACTGTTTTAATATTTAGATCTCTAGACCAGGAGAAGCAAAGGCTGCCAGCAAGAAGCTGAGGAAGCACCTCCAGCTAACTGAGCAAGGTCCAGTGATTGACAGTGAAAGGAGAAGCTGCATCTTGAGAATTAAGACCTGTGCAGTATAAGACATCTTCGTGTCACCATGATTCTGCAGCCTCAGGTGGTGGCCTTAGGTCTCCTTCTTCTCCAGACGGGTGCTGTATTTCCTAACCAAGTGGATACCATGGAGGGTGAGACTGTTACTCTACCCTGCAGTTACTCAGTGAGAAACAAGACAGTCCTACCCATGTGTTGGGACCGAGGACCCTGTTCCTCTTCTAGATGCTCCGGCACACTCATCAAGACGGATGGACACCGAGTGACCTATCGGAAAGACAGCCACTCTTGGCTCCATGGGAAGATTAGTCAAGGAGATGTGTCCCTCACCATTCAGAATGTGACCGTTGGTGACCTTGGCCTGTACTGTTGCCACACTGAGTTTCTGAGATGGTTCAGTCGTACCAAAAAAACGGCGCACCTCAGTGTTATGCCAGCTGGCACCGCAAGTGTTCCCACATCAGCCAGGGTCTCCACCTCTCCTCCAACTCCAGAGCAGACTCAGAGCAAGGAAACAGAAAGTACTCCACTTGTTCCAACCCAAGCGGTAGGAAGGCAGCATACAACCCTGCAAGAAACAAAGCCTCAGCCCGTCACCTCCACCATGGATTCACAGCCATCAGCAGATGGGAGTGGCACAGTGACACAGTCTGCAGGTGGACTGAATAATCGAAATGTGTTTTTCCCTGAAGAAGCCTATATGGGAGTCCTTGCTATTACCTTGGCTTCATTTGTTATTGTGGTTGTCATCATTATCACAAACTATTTCAACAGCAGAGTGAAGATGAAGACACTAAGCAAGGTTTGGGAGACTCATCCTCAATATCAAGTTTTACAAGAGCAAGATCTGGCAGGAAACAAAGCCTGTGTCATCAAGAGTAAAATTTGAGTCACAGATTAAGACAGGTGACTGCAAAGGACACCGACCATGCATTACTACGTTCAACCCTTTGGATTCCTGGATCATTTTTCTGCATAACTTATATCTGTATTTCCAATGAATCAGTGCTGTTGGACAGAGTAGCTCTTGGGGCCAAAGCCTTACGTTGTCAAATTCATTGTTACTATAGTCCTGATCTTTATGCTGAGACTGTCCAGGCACTGCAGAGTTCTTTGTCAAGCATGAATACTTCACAGTTTTGTCTTTTCTTTAGACTCCAAAATCCTTCTATCCATCAAAGAAAGTAATCAGGGTAACACAGTAAATGAGCCCAACACAACTGTTCAAAGCAATAGGTTTTAAAAAGCAAAATATCTAATTTGAGACTTTTCGTGTATTTTGTGGTTTCTGGTTGCTTTTATATTATAACTCCAAATGGGATGTTTTATATGTTTCTAAGTGTAAATCATGTGAATATGCAGATTTTTGCTTCTCTTATGAGGAAGCAGAAGAGAGTCCACTTTTGTTGTTATAGGTATAGATGTTTATTCCTGGCTCTGTGTGATCTTTGGACCAGTGGTTGTTTCAGCTGTCAGATGAAGTTACAGTGCTGAGTAGGAACCACGCAGGCACCAGGGAAGACAAGCAATTGCCATGTGGCTCATCACACTTACACGCTGTGTGTGATACCAGCCCTGTGCACGGCACTACAAACTGCCAGGCTCTTGAAGTAAGTTTCAGAGTGAGGCAGGAAAGCAATGAATGAGGGAAAATGGGAGGAACCGGGACACGTGCTGCTACATTTAAGATAGTTTATTTCAATTTATGAAATTTTGTACATGTGTAAGAAATTTGAAAAACCATTCATTCAAATATGAAATAATTTTGTGAGTACATTAAATGAGCAGTTCTTACCGGTTGTATGACAAAAAAAATTTAGATCTCTGATCCATTTAGATTTTAATTTAGTGTATGGTGAGAGATATGGGTCTAGTTTCAATTTTCATTATAAGGATAGCCAGTTTTCCAGCATCATTTACTAGAGGCTATGTTTCCTCCAGTGAATTTTAGGTATTTCTGTTTTCAAAAGCCCTTGGTTATTCCTGCCACCAGAGAGTTGCAGTCTTCTTTGGTCAGAAGGAGGACCTGGTACTGTCTTTCTCCTGACTTCCAAGTCTGCTCTTTTGCTATGGTTAGCTCCTTCCCGTAACCCCACAAATCCTTGTTCTTTTCTTTTGCAGGGCAGTTTTGCTCTTTGTCTCATTGCCCTAAAGACTTTCCACACCTGAAATGGCACATCAAGAATCGGTTTCACCAACAGAAACTGCTCTCTAAGGTGAATCATGCAGCTAGCTATTAAGGTAACATTTGTTTAAAGCGTGATACTAAATGTTAATGGATGACTCTCAGTCTGGAAGAGTCCACAGCAGGTGAGATCTAGGAATTCACTGAGTTCTTTGTTTTTGAGACAATTTTGCTGTGTAGTTCAGGCTGACCTTGAACTCATTGTGTAACCCAGGCTATTCTTGAACTTGTGGCGATCCTCCTGTCTCTGTTTCCTGAGTTCTGGGATCACAGGTGTGCACCACCATGCCTGGCCTAATCTACTGATCTCTTGCATAGAGCTTCTACATTTCTGTGGGCCCCTTTGGTGAGATGTGCCCTGACTAGAAGACATTGTCTTGCCTTCCATGAGTTTTTCCTCAGAAATTGCCGACTTCCCTATTTTTCTGCATATTTTGAGTTCTTATTTTTGTTTTCTCTTCAAGCATATAATCTATAAGAATGTGAGAGAGAGACGTAAAAATACATGATTCAGATGAAAATAATCCTCTTTCACTGAATTTAAGTAGATGTCTGTGCCAATCTTTTTACGTGTATTATTTAAATATCCTTTCCTGGCCCACATAGTTCTTGGTTGTTTTGGGGGCTGGGCGCATAGCTCAGTGGCATAAGCGCCTGCCTGGCAAGTGTGAGGCTATGAGTTATCTTTGGTACCAATAAATAAATAAAACAATAAATATCCCTATGAGGAATTCATTATGTGATAGGACACTGTTCCCACGAAAAACTTGCCCAAGGTCATATGCACAGTGATTTAAACTAGTTGTGTTTGACTACAAAATCCTGAGCCCCATAAGCGCCTGCCTGGCAAGTGCAAGGCCATGAGTTCGATCCCCAGTACCAAAAAAAAAAAAAAAAAAAAAAAAAATCCTGAGCCCTGCACCACTGACACCAACATATGACTTTTCTCTGTAAAGCAGATCATTACATTAAATAAATTTATTAACATGTTTGCAGTACATTCATTATGGGGAGTTGGTACAAGCCATAACTCATTTTCATTCGTTTTTCTTTTCCTCCACACCCCTTCCTCTCCCTTCTGCTGCCCTCCATTAGATTGGTTCCCTTCTCCTTTGCAAGAGATATATCAATTTTTCAAGAACAGAAGTTCCAAATGCAAAGTACTGTTTTTTTGAGTGTCAATAAGTATAGCATTGTTCAAATACATACTATTTCTTTATACATGTGCAAGAATCAATTATTTGGGGATATGTTGGTTGTGTGACAAGTTGAAACCTTGTGATAGGGTATTTTTTTTTGTAATAGGGTATTGAGACAGCACAAGGCTGTCTAAAAATTAACCTTAATTACTTCATAAATATACATATGCAACATGACACCTCTTTCTCCATTTATTTTCCTGTACCTGCCTTGATGTCAAGAGATTAAATATATTCAAACTTGTTAAAATCACAACAGCATGATCAATTTTATGTTAAAGTTAAATGCGAGTGCAGAGATTCCTAATGTGACCTGAGCAGCAGCCTCGCTCTGGAATTCTTTTTTCTTAACATAAACCTAATTTATATAGCAGTTTTAAATTCACAGAAATATTGACAGGTATAGATTATCATATAACCCATATCCCAGGCATATCCAGGCCTTTATATCTCCCCTGTAATCGCCGGCATCCCTGCCCTGGAGTTCTAACATGAGAGGTGAAGTTTCTTCAGGTTGTTTTGTTTTGTTTGGTTTGGTTCTTGTTAATGGTATGTTTCTTATTATTTCCAATATGTAAGTGTTACTCTGACTACATATTTACATACCTACCTTGCTACTGACATTACTCAAACATTTGTAGATGTATTTGTGAGGTGTTTGCATTAGTTATTTTAAAAAAGTCTAAATTTTTGAAGAGGTAGGTTAAATCAGGTTTACAACATCTAAAATAAAGTTAGATGAGACAGCAATTAATGCTGTCAATTGATATATAGTTGCTATTACTGTGATCCAACTAAACAAGAAATTGTCAAAAATACCCTTAAAAATCATTTTATGCTATAAAAGGTTTATTTTAAAATAATCCACATAGGAAAAATGTTTAGTTAAAATTTTATAAAATTTTTTCAGCAAGTAATATATTAATATTGTTCAAAAAACCAAAATTTAAAAAAGTTTTATGTTGAAAAATTTCCTTCCCATCTCTGGTCTTCCTTTGAATTTCTTGCTATCCTACACTCTTTTTTCCCAGTAGTTATCTCAATACTAATATAAATATCTCTATATTTTCCCTAGCTTATGCATAAATACTAGCATATTTAAGCACTGTAATGTACTTGACTTTCTATAATTACCAGTGTATCATAGAACTTTCCTCATGTCAATTATATAAAAATGTTTTTCTTTTTTTTTTGTCTTTTAGAGATAGGGTCTCTCTACGCAGTTCAGGCTGGGCTTGAGCTCACTTTGAGCCCAGGCTGGTCTTGAACTTGCAGCAATCCTCCTGCCTCAGCCTCCTGAGTGCTGGGATTTACAGGCATGTGCCACCATGCCTGGTTTTCCTTTTCTTTTCACCTGAATGATATTCAAATGTATGATGTACTACATTTTATTCAATCAGTACCCACTTAAAAGATAATTGATTTGTTTAAAATCTTTTACTATTTTAAAGTATTTCAATAGTATGCCTTGTGTTATCTGAATTTGGTGGCACATGGCTGTAACTGCAGTACTCAGGAAGCTGAGGCAGGAGGATCCTGACAAGTTTGAGGTCAGCCTAGGCTGTATAGTGAGATCAAGACCAGCCTAAACTGCACAGCAAGAACTTGTCTAAAAAAAACTGAAAAAAAAAATATTAACAAAAAAGCAATATTAACTTGTGTTAATTTGCACATATACGAGCATATCTTCAGAAAGTATATCTAATTGATGTATCAAAATAAATGCATTTGGCCTGGCATGGTGCTGGCATGTTGGTGTATGTTTGTATCCCAGCACTCTGGGCAGCTAAAATAGGAGGATTTCAAGTTCAAACCCTCACCAATTTAGAGACTTAGCAAAGCCCTATATAAAAAATTGTTTTAAAGTTTTAAAAATATGCATTTGTAATTCTGAAGGAAATTATGCAATTGCTCTCTATAAGAGTGTTTACTAATTTCTAATATGTAAAAATATAATTATATGTAACCAACATACAAGATTTTCTATTTACCCACCACCATACTGGTGGGGTGTTTAATTTTTGTGGATATGTGAAAAATTATGTCTTAAATGTACATCATTTCACATTTTTTCCTATTATAAGTGAGGAAAATTCTGGGGCCACAAATTTAGCTCAGTGGCACAAGAGTCTCCTGGCAAGTGCAAGGTTGTGAGTTCAATCCATAGTACCAAAAAGAAAAGAGGAAAATTCTTTAACATATTTAAAACCAGTTCATGCATTCATGCATTGTATAGGCTGGTCTCAGACTCCTGCTCAGGGATCCTTCCAGTACCTGGCTGGTACCAGTGATCACTGGAGTACCTGGCACTACAGGTGTAAGCAACCACTGCACCCAGCTCAACTTTGGGTCTTTAAGGATTATATAAGACCTTTTAGTTTATGTAAAATACCAGAGTAAAAATTTTTAATTTGTTTTAAAAAATCACCTAGGTGAATATGAGTTCTGCATAATTGTTCTTTTATTGTTACCTTTTCCAACTTCTTTAGAAATTTTTTTACACTG